ATCCGAATGGCGAATCTGGATCAGTCTATGATAAATTACACCCATACAATCGGCATAGCCGTCAAAAATATAAAAGTTTGCGGGGGAAATTCTACAATGCACTCATGTAAATTACGAGCATAGACATCTACTGACGCCATCTTTGATTTTTTTTTCGTCATTCTTAGTTTGCAATTAATGCCAACCCGAGGTCGTTATGCCGATGACTGAACTCAGCTGATTTGTGGCGCCATCTGAAGTCTGAATTGTGTCTAATGATCGCCGTTGTCGCACAGTGGGGGGAAGTGGAGGCGTTTGTGCGTAGTGCGCGCCGAGTCGACTTGACGATGACGACGGCGTTAGAAGCGACGACGAAGATGTGAGCGGATGAAAAAGTAGGCGCGCAACGCATTCGCACGTAGACTGTCGAAAATTGGGACAGACATTTGGCGCGACCGGCTGCCCGTCGACCGGACGTCCGACGTGGGCGCCCATCCTTGAAGGAATACGCATCCAGCTGTGCGCACGGCGCCAAAGAGGAGTTAGTGAATTACCTCAAGGGGGACACACCTTTAAGGAATGTCTCGGCAAGTTTCCGCATTTCATTAAGGAACTGGTTGTTTTAAGCTTTTCGGGGCCCATGTGAAACAGTCTGTGCTGTTGTCCTGAGCTATCATCTTATTTCAGCATCTGTTTCTAGAGGTGACAGGACGAATAATTTCATTTATTAAATTACTTTTGAGCTTATATTCTTCTAATGATAGTACTAGTTCATAAGCTATCTAGATAGCTGCAAATATGATGAATTTGTTCATAATATAGAAACTGATGAAAAATGAAGTTTAACTGACGTGGGTAGTTCTTTTTATAAGTTGTGGCATACACTCAACTGTTCATTAGGACAGGACCGTTGTTTTTCGAATGTCACTCAGACCTTTACACATATTGAATGGTGGGTGTTAAATATTCGTAAGTTGGTCTTTATATTCTCACTGGGAAGTGTGGAAATAGTCACTTCGGAGAACCGGGAAGGCGTCGTTGGTTTCGGCAAAAATTGTTTCAGCGATCGTGCTCGTGGAAACGGCGCAACTTGCCGCTACCCCCACTTTTGATTCGAGCAAGAACTTTTCCTTTTTGATTACTACCAAGGGTTCTTGTTGATAAACAGAACTCGATATTTAGTGATAGTCTTTTCATGAGATGAAATCATACCTGAATGCTGTCCTTCTCGTACGTCTATCGATAAGTTTTTCGAATTGTCTGAGGTTTTGAACTTATTAATGGTTAGCTAGTTACTGTATATTTGGGTTTACGGTGAACATTCTTGTTCATTAGTCTGATAATTCTCTATCATAGGCCCATAGTACATTACCTTGAAGTCGGTTGGAAAGAAAAGGTGGAATACGAATTGGTTGGGTGCTTCCTGCAATTGTCTTCTTTAGATAGGGATAATTATTTACCATATGCAATAGTTTAATGCTTGGTTCACGGAAATTTTGAGATTTCTATTTTAAATAAAACAATGGAGGCTGTCGTGCAGAATAGTGCAAGGGTGGCGAAAAACACTGAAATCGTAGTATTTTAAAAAATATAGGACTTTAAAGAAGTATCAAGAAAAGGGATTGTACGAGATGATCGTATGAATGTCTCTCATTCAAACGTACTGTTCGTCTCGTCTCGTGAATAGTACAGTAATAACAAGGCCGGTATAATAGGGCTACTTTTAGTATCTGGTCGGCCTAGCCGGTTTTGGAGCCCCTATAACGCCCTGCCTACACCGTTTTTTGGCCCTACAACGGCTCACTCGCTACTCATAAGAGCCACATATTCATTATAGCGGTGAATTCCAGTGACCATTTTAATCGTGGGCTGTGCCTTTAAGACGGCAATAGAGGTTGATATGCTCTCTTCCAAGGCTAGCATCGAGTAACTGATCCCAACTAGAGGGTGGAAGGAATACATGATAGCAAGCTGAAAAGGAAAACAGTTATTAGGAGGCGACTAAGGACGAGAAAAAAGGCATTCATTTGAAAACTGATTGGATATGTCATAAAAGTCAAAATGGCCTGTTTGTCCGAAGACTCCGGCTCATTACTGGTACTCCGCGAGAGTGAAAGCTTTTCAAGAGTTCGAGGATTACTCCAACAGAGCAAACAGAGGCAATGATGGTGGATTGCCTTTCTGTTGAACCCAAATCTCATCATTGCTAACTGGAAGCTACTGGAAACCTTTTCTCTAATGAAGAGCGTGAAACGATAGAAAGTGCTCTTTGGTGAAAATGTGCACCTACTATACCTCTATTAGAGCGGTGATCGTGGTTTCTGGCTAATTAGAATGATTAGGGATCGCGGAGAGAAGTCCAAGTGTTCTTTTCCATTTGAAGTTTGTATGTAGGAGGA